AAGCTTTTCCCCCCCCCCCCCCACCCCGGTCCCCTACCCAAAAAAAAGAAACCCACCCAACCCCCTAGAAGTAAGTAAATCCTTACAAAACTGCAAATATGGTTTATGTCAGTATGTGTATGTGGGTGAGTGTGTTCTTGTGTCTCTGTGTGTGCATTCCTCTTTGTTTGTCAAACTCCATTATTAATGCAAATGCATTTGTTATTGGGTGCGGATATTCAATTGTCCATCCCCACCCCATTAAACTCTCTAAGATAAAATTATTTATTCCACACCATTTTATACCAATTCCATTAGTGACTAAACATGCCCCATTTTATACTCAATGCCATTTGATCTTCTTTTCTCTCCCTTTGCCAGAAATCAGTCACTGGATCTCAGCACTTTCACATCCAATTATTTTCCTTGTTTTCCCTAGTTTTTTACTATTATTTTCCTCCACATTGAGGTCAGTTACATTCCCACTGCTTTTATAGCAACATTATTCTAACTCATACTTCTTGTTCTTTTCGTGCAGCTTATGCAAAATATCGGGGTTCTCTTGGAAATGTCAGGAAAGGAGTATTGGTACATCTAGCTTTTACCTTGCTAATTTCTGATAATAAATCGGAAAGTTTTGCTTGGGTTTTATTGTTTTTTGCTTTTGTCTTTCTTCTTCTTTCTCGTCTTTAGTTGACAGCAATGAGAATGAAGCCTCATATACTCTATTATAGAACAGAAAATGTTTGGGTCCCCATTATTACTGCTTAATATCTCTTCTAAGGGAGGTAATAAACTGATATTATTTAGCCCATATATTAATACGAAAAATTATTCCGAAACTTTCATCCAATTGAACAAATTTAGTCAACATAACTCTTATCCTAGGTTTTTGCTATTTGAGGTTAGTTACAGGAATACTGTGGTGTTAATTTGCTCTCTAAGGGTTACAGGCTGTTAAATTATGCACCAACATTTACTTCCCACTTCCCAACCAATGGTCGTTTTGCTATTCCCATTGTCCTGTTAATTCTTTTAACCTGAAAGATGTCAATGGTCACCACTGTAGCCTTGGTCTTAGTCGTCCATGCTGCTCTAGAAATTGAATTTTTGCCTAGTATTAGTTTGCATCCATATTCATCCACATTTTAGCCACACATTTTGAAGTTGTTTTATAGAACGTGTTGTATAGCTTTGCCAAAATGTAGAAACGTTGAGCATCTCTAGACTTACAGTTGTCTTGTTAAATTGCTTTGTTAGGGATACAGCCAAACTACTCCAACAGCATCTCGTTTGTGCTAAATTGAAAGCCGAAACCTCCCTACTTTTAGGATGACATCTTGTTATACCACAATATCACTAGTGCTTTGGCCATAATATTAGATTTTCTTGTTTTCTCTCTGTGATTTCATGGTTCTTACATTCGTTTTGCAACCGTGAATTAGCCAACTGGTTCCTTTCACATTACGTTTGGTAACTTTTTTTCAGTTTGTTGCTTGGGAACTGTGTTTGTAGCTGGTGTTTTGTTCTAGCTAAATTATAACTTTGCCTTACTTCATTTCTTGGACTTGGTTGTGCAGGTATCTATGGGTTACGGAGCAATAACAGCTCATGCACTGATGAGTTTAGAAGCTCGTGGAACTCTCTTTGTGAATCCTGGGATGGAGGTTGAATAAAATGATCCTTGCTCATTATTTTTCCCAGTCCCTAATTACTAATAGTTGTTATAGTTTTTTTCTTTTTTTTGGAGATTGGGGGGGGGGGGGGGGGGG